AAAGGCCACAGAAGAGTAAACGCAGTTGGAAGGAAAACTCAGAGATAATATCACAATTTTGTAATATACGGGATTTTTTTACCTACGGGATTTTTGGACCCTGCAAGATTTTTTGGCCTGCAGGATTATTGGCCTCACGGGGGTTTTGGGCCACAGGACTTTTTCTCCTACGGTATTTTCTCCTGCACCCGTTAAACTATAGGGTGGCACTCACCCCAGCTGCAATCCAGTTGAATAGAGAGTTTTATTCCAAAACCTGAGTTATAAATAATTGTCTTCAATACCCTGTAGTTTCATTTGGTAAATTCCCAACATATCTGATATGAATGAATGAACAGAAAACTTTATTTACCGCTTTTCAGCGTTCACAAGGCATAACCAGAACTCCCAAATCCAAACCCATTCCCCACCCAACCCAACTCCCCCAAATACATTCAATCACTGCAAAGCATGAAACAAAGCACAAACAAATGACAAAAATAAAAGAGAACACACTCCACAAAATAAAACTGGACATCCTACACCCACCCATCCCCAATATTGAAGGCAATACTGATATATCTGATATATTACGCCCTTTTGTGGTATATTTCTTCAGATTGATTTCAGAGCAGATTATTATTTTTTTCTTGTTACATGAGTCAATACATTTTCCTGGAAAAATTCACATGCAAATTTTTTATTTTTCCTTTTATTTTCTTTGTGGAATTTCCTTATCCATTCAAAGAACCCTTTACCTTTGAAGAGGAAAGTCACTATAATAAGGTTAGTTCATGGATGGTTCAATAGGCTTTTGGATTGATTACTTCAAAAATAATATAACAAGCTAGCTGTTGTTTTGTCAATTTGGCTTCAGTTACTTTGGCTTGCTTCTGGCAATAATGTGGCGCTTTTATAAGATTTGAAAGATGAGAAAAAATCAAGTTATTTTTTAGATAAATTGTTGCCGCTCAAATGTGTGATTGTGAATTTTTTTGCATTATACCTTGAATGAAGGCATCTAAAAGTGTTTGGCATTATTTTATGAATATAACTGAATAGCACTGCGACATCTTAAACCTTTGAATAACGCTCAATCTGAACTTAACACCTCGTCGTCCTTTTAATAAGTTAAAACCCCGTAAACTTTTATAAAGAACTTATAAAAAGGCAAACCAAGTTCCCTTTCTCGAAGTCTGCGTCTTTTTTTTGTGGATTAGGTACAGTAAGTTTCTCTTCTTTATTTTGCATACTTTTTATTTATTCGAAAGCACTCCAAGTACAGCTTCCAGTGGGACGTGGACGACAACTTTTCGCACCGAGAAGGTCGGGACGGGGTCAACACAGAAGGGGAATATCGGGTCATGTTGCCGGACGGAAGACTGCAAATCGTGTCCTACGATGCTGACGAGAACGGATACAGGGCCAAAGTGACTTACAATTCGACAGGCAGGCATCCCACGGACTACAGCAGTACTGCGACAGGTACTCGTCGCAATTATGGGCGACAGAGGATCCCGAACTCATTCGGGGTTCGTGGGTTCTACAGCAAGAACCCGGGTGATGGGATGATATTCACCAGGCAAACAGCCTCAGCAGTGGTGGTGAGCACGACGATTTATTAAACAAAGGAAGGAGAAGAATCTTTAAAAAAAAAAAGAGAGCGAAAGAAATTGAATTCTCTGTTTTAAAAAACAATCTTTGACGCATTTATCATCGAAAGCATCTTGATTTTTGGATGATGTGAATTCAGTTCTTCAAACGGGTTTATGATACAATATTCGACCAACTGCGCTTTTTAAAAGATGCTATGATTGAGAAGCTTCCAATTTTTGCAGTTCAATGAGGAAACTTAGGGTCACGCAATATGATAACTACAAATTATTATGCACTCGTGAAACACGTTTAAAATCACTATTTGATTTGGCATATTTTTATACTTTGGGATATAGGATTTTAAAATTCTTGAGAGATGTTCAGACTTGCTGGAAAAATTCCATTCAAATTCATCCTAACACTAAATAACGGCTTTTAACATACATTTTATTGTTCTAGAATTGAAGTCAAAGTGAAAAATCCGAATCTTAATTGGCGACCGGAAATTTTTCAATCGGAGATGGTTCTATGAACGCATATTCTGCTGTTTTCTTTCAATTTGAAATTATTTTTCTCTTTAGTAATTGAATGTTCGTATCTTTGTTTTATCGCAGAAGCATAAACCTCAAGTAGTTTCAAATTACAATGAGGCCATTGCAAACACGAGGAAGCACATCCAACAATACAGGCATTCCGTGACCCATGAAGACCAAGAAGAGGTCAAGGAACAATCCAGCAACAAGCAGCACATGATACAAACCAACCAGGTGACATCAAATCAAGAGTCACCCAATAATGTCCTGGACCTGGGATTTGCCCAAGTTGTGGTCAGTACACAAGCAAGTGTCCATGTGGACTCTGAATACCAAAAGAAGTATGGCATAGAGTCCTCACCTTCTTACAATGTACCAACAACTACAACAGAACCCAGTATTGGGGTTTGGATTGCACCCAAGGGACAGAAGTCTTACAGTGCACCTATTCAGAGTTTTGCGCAGGCAAATGTGCAGCAACCTGCTGGTCAACATTTTCACCAGCAACAAGGATACTCCAGACCATCCCAACAAGTAGTAACAATTCAGGATGACTCATCAAGTGAGGAAGTTGGTCCAGCTCCAGAAAAACCAGCTCTAACAACATCTTACAGGCCTGTGAATGTAAACTCCAGATTTTCCTCCACATTGCCAGAATATTCCACAGTTGCTAAAAATCCATTGCTGCCAATAGTTCAGCAGAGTTACCCTCAAGCAAACATTCCCAATTCTTCCAGAGCAAGAGGAAGACCAGGAAATGTGTATTTTAGCTTTCATGCTAGAAAACATGCAGATCAAGTGCATAATCACCATCATCAGTCTTCTCAACATCACAAATTACATGAGACATCAGCTTCAACTTACTTTGATGAGCAGGAAGCAGGACCTTTGTACACAAGTGGGAACCCATTGCTTGTAAACTCTCACAACAACAAGGGTGACAGTAATCATTACATCAAGAATTCATCTGAGGAACAAAGTCAACATCAAATCAATTTTCAGACAAAATACCATGCTGATGTTCCTTCTGCATCAGCTCCAATTACTTATGCTCCCACAAGGTCGCAGCCATTGGCTGTAATGTCAGTGCCCCAGATGCACAAACTGTCTCATCACAGAGCTTCTCAATTTACCCAGGAACTAAGTGCAAAAACTCATTCATCCGCTGAGATCAATCAAGACCTTCCAGTTCAAACCAAAGCTACCATTTCTAGACCTCCAGGGCTCCCCAACCGTTCCAGGTTTACCAAGGACATAGACTTATATTCTCAACCAACCTATGACATACCATACCAGCAGCAGCATGCACCTGGCTCTTCTGCAAGATCACTCAACACCTATGCAAGGGCACCTGTCAGAAGGCCATCTTGGACATCAGTGAACAGTGGGCCTCATCAGAACTATGGCAAGACAGTCCAAACCTTGTCACATGGAAACAGGTACTCATCAGGGTATGTCCAGCATGGAACCTCATGTCCCAACTGCTATCAAGCACCTAAAAGGCGTCCTTACCACCGCCCAATCACTAAACCAGTGCACACATACAACTCTGGTAGTTTCCAGAGGATAGTTGGAGGGCGTCCAGTCATTTACTACACCAGAGAGGCCCATCATCACAACAGGTATGCCAAGGTTCACAACCAGTATGCTGATGCATATGACCATAGACAAGCTGTGGTGGGTCAGCATCATGCTCATAGAGCCCATGTGAGTCATAGGCCAAGTTACCAGCATGTTGGACATCAGTATTCCCCTGCTTTTGGTGCAAAGGCACAAGCAAGTGCCCATGCTGGGATGAGTGGTGATGCACAAGCCAGTGCTGTGGCTCATGCTGTTGGCATGGGTAATGCTCAGGCATCTGCAACAGCAGCCCATGGATGGAGATGATGGTGCAATTTTTACTCAAAAGTCAAATTATTTTTATGAATGCCATTGTATTGCAACTTGGTGCATTTTTTTCAAACACATCATGTGACTGGTATTAATATGCGTGGACGGTTGTGATTTATGTCCAAATTTTGATCAGAAATATACACTGTACATTGCTTCAGTTCAAAGTATTTCAAGTCACTATTCGCATCAATTATTTCAAGTCACTAAGTGCAAAAGTTTCTTCTATATTATCTGAAGATGATTCTTGCAGTGTTGAGATATTTGAAGTTGACAATGTAGCTCATGCAAATGGGACAGCAATTCCTTGTAAGAAGAAAGTGGAATTTTTTATTTATTTAGAAGAGATTTCTGTCCAAGTTCAGCGCTTGATGAGTGTACACCAAGCAGATTCTTCTCACTAGAAATCTCTTTGTACTGGAATTTCCCTGCTCGCAGTTCCTCGAGAAAATTATCCTTCAATTATATCGACTTGTGTCCTGAACCTGCTTCGCAAAAATTTTCAGGGGAGAAAAAAGAGCGGCAAAGCGCTCGAATTTTGGTACGTTCTGGACTAATGTTCCGGAAGTATTCGGAAAGACGAAGAAAATTATAAAAACAGTGCAAATAATACTGTAGTTTTGCATATTTTTGTTTTTTTCAAGTTTTGAAATTTAGATAGCTAAAATACCGTGATATGTATGATGAAAGCTGAAGAGAAGGAATCAATCGTGATCAAGACTTGCTGATTTTTAAAATAGTGCAGTACCACTTGAAATTCAGCACATATCAAATGACCTTTCACTGTTGCTCCCAAATGAATTTGTTGAGGTTGGAAACGGTAATCGGCTGTCCATATCATCATCAGGAATCGTCCTCATTTGAACCCGACGCATCTGGTATTCGTCTCATCGTGCGCTGCACAGGAGCGACATCTTGACACATTTGAAGTAATCATGCGTGAGATACTCTTTCCTTGTGCAACTACGAGGCGTTCCTTTCTTCTCCGACCAGAGCTCTTCTAATTTCTATTGAACTGCTGATCTCATGACACAGATGGCGCCAGCTCTGAAAGACATGTATAAAATCAGGGTTAATGAGTTGCTGGCCCAAGTGGCCATCGCAGTAGAAGGTGGGCTGGCCTTCTGGGCCACCCTCCTGGCCTGCAGTTGGAGTAATACCTCGCTGAAGTGATCAAGTTCTTGGGAGAACTTCTATGGCTGAGCTATTGTAGGGAATTAATAGGTGTTCTCATGCTTTTCTCTAAATTAGTGGAATAGAGTTTCGCTTTTAACGAATAATATATTGCAAAGAATCCGTTTTTCTACCACTGCCCAATAAATGGCCAAATTATTAATTTAATTTCGTTTCACCAAATATTTGTTTATGACGAAGCTTTTTCGATCGAGGTCTCAAATGCTTCTTTGTGACGAGATTTTACTTTATAATTTATGAAGTTATTATACTAAATTCGCTGAACTTAAATCAGCATTGTTTATCTTATTTTAAAACAATTATTTGGGAAATGCATAGCACATCACTGTAGCAATTTGTATAAACATTTTCATTCAAAAAACAAGCATTTTTTGGCATGCATGAAAATTCCAACTCAAAAAAGACCGAACCAATTCAAGGAAAAGAAAGGTGATCTGCTGTGATTAAAATGAAAGATCTAATTTCCGTTACTTATTTTAGAATTTTGGCAACTAACCAGCTCAAGTGTTATTGTATATATATACTGATGTACATATTATTAAAATATGTTTAATAACTCAACCACACCTGATTTTTGGGTAGGAACGATTTTAAAATATTTTAAGGGTGCATTTTGAGAAATAACCTCATGGGCTTATAAGTGTTACAAGTATAGGTGTAAATTTGTACATGCATGCATACATATTATCCACAGTAATCTGCAGCAACTAATACAATTATATAACTGATTGAATATTGAAAAAGAAAATTCAGATTCTTTGAGCCAGTCTTTAATTTTAAAATCCATTCTCTGTGAAAATTACCAAGAGAAAACCAAACTGTGAATAAGTTTCTGCANCATTTCTAGACCTCCAGGGTTCCCCAACCGTTCCAGGTTTACCAAGGACATAGACTTATATTCTCAACCAACCTATGACATACCATACCAGCAGCAGCATGCACCTGGCTCTTCAGCAAGATCACTCAACACCTATGCAAGGGCACCTGTCAGAAGGCCATCTTGGACATCAGTGAACAGTGGGCCTCATCAGAACTATGGCAAGACAGTCCAAACCTTGTCACATGGAAACAGGTACTCATCAGGGTATGTCCAGCATGGAACCTCATGTCCCAACTGCTACCAAGCACCTAAAAGGCGTCCTTACCACCGCCCAATCACTAAACCAGTGCACACCTACAACTCTGGTAGTTTCCAGAGGATAGTTGGAGGGCGTCCAGTCATTTACTACACCAGAGAGGCCCATGATCACAACAGGTATGCAAAGGTTCACAACCAGTATGCTGATGCATATGACCATAGACAAGCTGTGGTGGGTCAGCATCATGCTCATAGAGCCCATGTGAGTCATAGGCCAAGTTACCAGCATGTTGGACATCAGTATTCCCCTGCTTTTGGTGCAAAGGCACAAGCAAGTGCCCATGCTGGGATGAGTGGTGCACAAGCCAGTGCTGTGGCTCATGCTGTTGGCATGGGTAATGCTCAGGCATCTGCAACAGCAGCCCATGGATGGAGATGATGGTGCAATTTTTACTCAAAAGTCAAATTATTTTTATGAATGCCATTGTATTGCAACTTGGTGCATTTTTTTCAAACACATCATGTGACTGGTATTAATATGCGTGGACGGTTGTGATTTATGTCCCAAATTTGATGAGAAATATACATTTTACATTGTCCCAGTTCAAAGTATTTCAAGTCACTATATGCACAAGTTTCTTCTTTATTATCTGAAGAAGATTTTGGCAGTGTGTTCAAAATGTGGGAATATTCGAAGCTGACAATATAGTTCATGCAAATGGAACAGGGTCCTTATAAAAAGAAAGTGGAATTTTTTGTTGTGTTTAGAAGAGATTTCTGTCCAAGTTCTGGTGTACACCAAGCAGATCCTTCTTAGAAGAAATCTCTTCGTACTGAAATTTCCCTGCTCGCTGTTCCTCGACAAAATTGGCCTTCAATTACATGAAATAGTGTCCTGAATAATCTGCTTCGTAAACAGTTTCAGGAGAGAAAAAAGAGCTGCAAAGCGCTAGAATTTTGATACGTTCTGGACTAATGTTCCGGAAGTATTCGAAAAGACGAAGGAAATCATAAAACCAGTGCAAATAATACTGTAGTTTTGCATATTTTATTTTTTAAAAATTTTGAAATTTAGATAGTTGAAATACAGCATGATATGATGGAAGCTGAAGAGAATAAGGGATCAATTTTGGTCAAGACTTGCTGATCTCTAAAATAGTGCAGTACCACTTGAAATTCAGCACATATCAAATGACCTTTCACGGTTCCTTTAAATGAATTTGTGGTGGTTGGAAACGGTAATCGGCTGTCCATATCATAATCAGGAATCGTCCTCATTTGAACCCGACGCATCTGGTATACGTCTTATCGTGCGCTGCGCAGGAGCGACATCTTGACACATTTGAAACAATCATGTGTGAGATACTCTTTCCTTGTGCAACTACGACGCGTTCCTTTCTTCTCCGAACAGAGCTCTTCTAATTTCTATTGAACTGCTGATCTCATGACACAGATGGCGCCAGCTCTGAAAGACATGTATAAAACCAGGGTTAATGAGTTGCTGGCACAAGTGGCCATCGTAGTAGAAGGTGGCCTGGCCTTCTGGGCCACCCTCCTGGCCTGCAGTTGGAGTAATACCTCGCTGAAGTGATCAAGTTCTTGGGAGAACTTCTATGGCTGAGCTATTGTAGGGAATCAATAGGTGTTCTCATGCTGGTCTTTAAACTAAAGAAATTGTTTCCTTTCTAACGAATAATATATTGCAAAGAATCCATTTTTCTACCCCTGTCCAATAAATGGCCAAAATATTAATTTAATTTAGTTTCACCAAATATTTGTTTATGACGAAGCTTTTTCGATCGAGGTCCCAAATGCTTCTTTTTAACGAGATTCTACATTATAATTTATGAAACAATGCTACTATATAATTATACTGCTACTATTATAATTTATGAAACAATGCTAAATTCTCTGAACTTAAATCAGCATTTTTTAAATCTTATTTTATAAAATTATTTTGGAAATGCATAGCACATCACCGCAGCAATTTGTAAAAAAAACATTTTAATTCAAAATACAAGCATTTTTTGCCGTGCGTGAAAATTCCAACTCAAAAAAGACACAAGCAATTCAAGGACAAGAAAGGTGATCTGTGATTAAAATGAAAGATCTAATTTCCGTTACTTATTTTAGAATTTTGGCAACTAACCAGCTCAAGTGTTATTGTATACATATACTGTACATATTATTAAATTATGTTTATAGTAACTCAACCACACCTGATTTTTGGGTAGGAACGATTTTAAAATATTTTAAGGGTGCATTTTGAGAAATAACCTCATGGGCTTATAAGTGTTAGGTGTAAATTTGTAAATGCATGCATACATTTTATCCACAGTAATATGCAGCAACTTATACAATTATATAACTGATTGAATATTGAAAAAGAAAATTCAGATTCTTTGAGCCAGTCTTTAATTTTAAAATCCATTCTCTGTGAAAATTACCAAGAGAAAACCAAACTGTGAATAAGTTTCTGCATTGATTAGAAGTTGAACTATACTATTTAAAAAATATAAAACTTTCTTAGCATTTGAAAAAAATATTTTACAATATGAAATACAATAAAAATTACAGGTTATATCGAAACATTTCGAAACTGAATAGAACTTTCTGATCGTTCAATGATGAGGAGCTCCAGCATTTTCTCTGCGGACAGAGCGCGGGAATCATTCAGTTGCTTCCCAAAGCTCTTCTCCTCCCTGTCTTTCAAAAAAAAAAACGG